GCATATATTGTAGGATGCAAGGTTGGAAAATTGCCATCAAAGTACTTGGGGATGCTGCTTGGGGAAAAGCGTACTTCTAAGAAGATTTGGGACCCGGTGATGGAAAGAATGGAAAGGAAACTTGCCTCTTGGAAATCGAGGTATCTATCAAAGGGAGGGAAACTTAAGCTTTTAAAAAGTGTTTTGTCTTCTCTTCCTACCTACTTGTTGTCTCTCTCCTTTATTCCAGCTAGTGCAGCTAAGAAGTTGGAGAAGACAATAAGAAAAAGAAGGGGGTGGTTTGTAAGTTGGACCTGGAAAAGGCTTATGACTTGGTGGATTGGGAATTCTTGAGGAAAGTTATGACTAAATTTGGGTTTGGAGCTAAATGGTGCAAATGGATCATGGGTTGTGTTCGGAATTGTCATCATTCAGTGCCAGTGAATGGGACAGTGGTAGATTTCTTTCCAGCCATTAGAGGTATAAGACAAGGAAACCCTCTATCTCCTTTCTAGTTCATACTAATTGCTGATGTTTTGGGGAATTTGATTCATAGAGTAGACTCTAGGTGATTTATCAGAGGTTGGAGAGTTGGAAGGGAGGAAACACCCCTCACTCACTTATAGTTTGTTGATGATATGATTTTGTTCTGTGAAGGAGGTAATGTGAGTTTCATCAGGAACATGAAACTGGTGATACAACTCTTTGAGCAAATGTCAAACTTGAAGGTGAACTTTGGGAAAAGCTGTGTAGTGGGTATGAATATGGAGGGAGAGATTAGGGAGAGTGCAGAAGTGCTAGGGTGTGAAGTCTCGGGATGGCCTTTGAATTATCTAGGGTTGCCATTAGGTGATAACCCTAAGAGAGAGAGCTTCTGAAACCCGGTGGTGGAAAGATTTGAAAAGAGACTTGTCTCTTGGAAAAAGAATTACCTCTCTCTTGGTGGAAGGACTACACTGATTAAGGCCACGCTAACAAACTTACCCATTCATTTCCTATCAGTATTCAAAATCCCAATGAAGGTTTCTAACAGGTTGGAGAGGATGATGAGAGATTTCCTTTGGGAGCCGGGAGAGGAGAAGAGGGATCATAGAGTTAGCTAGGAGGTGGTGACCAGGAGCAAAAACTATGGTGGTTTGGGGCTTGGGAACATTAGAAAAAGGAATATGGCTCTTTTGGTGAAGTGGTTGTGGAGATTTCCATTGGAGCAGGAGAAGCTTTGGGCTAGAATAGTGGCAAGCATACATGGGCTGGAGCAAAATGGATGGGATGTTGGAATCAGAGCTAAGACCACAAGCACTTCTCCTTGGAAAGCCATTCATGATCTGCTACCAGTTTTCTCCCCTCTTATCAGGTATGATTTGAATTCAGGCAACTCCATAAAATTTTGGGAACAAACTTGGGTGGGGATTGCACCCCTAAAAGACCAGTTTCCTTCTTTGTATTGCTCTTTCTGATTTTAAAAATGAGCCAATATCTTCTTTCATCACCCCTTCCTCTTCCAGTTTTGCACCTGGGTGGAACCTGGGTCTGAGAAGGGTTGTGAGGGACTCAAACCTTGACAGTATTTTGAGCCTCCTCAAACTTCTTGATAATGTCTTTTTAGACCCCACTAAGGTGGACTCTAGAATTTGGACCCCTACCCCCACTAGCTCTTTTTCTTGTGCTTCCTTCTTTAAAGTCTTAAGCCAGTCCACCAGTCCTGTTACCCCCCTTTTCCCTATTAATGAGGTTTGGTGCAAACGAATTCCTCCTAGGGTTGGTAGTTTTTGTTGGGAAGCCTATTTGGAAAGAATCAACACTGGTGATTTGCTCCAAAAGAAGAGATTCAATACTTGCTTGTCACCTCATTGGTGTGTTCTTTGCAAAGCGGAGGGAGAGATTGGTTTCCACTTACTGGTGTCTTGCCAATTTGCAAAGTCAATTTGGGAGTGGGCCTTTTCCCTCTTTGGGTGTAGTTGGAACCCTCCATCAGACATGCAGAGTCTTTTCTCCCCCTCTGTTTTTAGGTGGTGTATGAAAAGAGGAAGGACTATGTGGTGAGGACTGAGGGCTGCAGTATGCTAGTCATTATGGGAAGAAAGAAATTCCAGGATCTTCTTAGAAGTTGAGAGAGGGGCTGAAGAACCGAGGGCTATAATCCATATTAGGGTTGTACAGTGGCTGAAATCCTTAGAGCTATTCACAGATTACACGGTGGATGACATGTTGAGGAAGTGGGGTGAAATCGCAAACTATACACAGACCAAATCAGTAATGAGTGTGCCTTGGACCCCCCACCCCCCACCTGCTGGATTCTTAAAACTAAACTTTGATGGGAGTAGTAGGGGGAATCCTGGACAGTCAAGGATTGGGGGTGTCTTTAGGGATGAGAATGAGGTCATTTCTGCATTGTTCTCAGGCCCAGTTGGAGTGGGTGACTCCCTTAGAGCTGAGATCTCTGCAGTTATGGAAGGAGTCCAGAAAGCTAAGGAGATGAATATCAGAAAACTCATGATTGAAGGGGACTCAGAGGTGGTGATAGGGTGGCTGAATAAAGATAACAGTGGCTTATGGAATTACAGCAATGAGAGGAGAAAATTTAAGTGGCTGATGCGGGAGATGGAAGTGAAGATGAGTTGGGTTAAAAGATCAGCTAATTTTTTAGCTGATGGATTAGCTAAACAAGGGGTAGAAAGGGATTCAGTGTTTTGGGTTAAATTGTAATTTTATTGTTTCTTCTTTTCCCTTTTTTTCTTCTTGAGGACTCAAGTTGTATTTGGAGGATAAGAGTATTTGTCTTCCTCTTTGTAATTATTTTCATGTTGAATTAATGAATTTGTTATTGATAAAAAAAAAAGACAATGAGAGATTTTCTTTGGCAGGGATGGAAGGATGAGTTTAAATTCCATTTAATCAATTGGAGCAAAGCTTATAAACCTAGAAAGGCGGGAGGTTTGGATTTAAGGAATGTGAGAAAGTTTAATCTGGCTTGTCTTGGGAAATGGTATTGGAGGTGGAATGAACAGACCACAAGTCAATGGAGAAAAATAATAGAGGCTAAGTATGGCTCAAGGAACTCAAGTTGGGACCCAGGGGAATCAAATTTATCTTATGGATGTGCGGTCTGGAAGGGTATTCATAAGCCAGAGAAGGATTTCAGACAAGGTTTAAGAATGGAAGTAGAGATGGTTCTAGAGTCATTTTGGAAGGAGGTCTGGTGTGGGGATCACTTAAGGATAGATTCCTAACCCTCTTTGATATTGCCATCAACAAGGAGTGTTTGGTGTCGGAGGTTTTTTCTCAGGTTGGAGGGGCAGGTGTGTGGTGTCCCAGTTTTAGAAGGAACCTGAATGATTGGGAAGTGGAGCAATGGGAGGAGTTGATGCAGATCTGAGCACGATAAGGTGGACAGAACAAGGGGGGACAGGAGGATTTGGCAAAGGAGAAATCAGGTAAGTTCCTATGTGGCAACAACTCTGAAAAGTTGGAGCATCTCTTCCTGCACTGCAGATTTAGTTGGGTAATTTGGATGAAAATGTTAGAGGTCTTTGGAGTTCAGGAATGTATTGGACCTGTTACGGGGCTGGGGTCTAAGGGGTCTGTCGAGAAGAGGTAAGATTGTATGGAAGGTGTTGCCAGCGGCGGCGGTGGTGTGGTCAATCTGGTCGGAAAGAAACATGAGACTATGAAAATCAGTCAAGATCAGAGGAGGAAGTCTTAAAGAGCATTTGGGGAAGGTTACATTCCTGGGTGGCAACGCACAAACTGTTCAAGAATTGTCCTTACAGTTCTTTTTTGGATCCTTGAACTGCTCAATATCAATTGGAGGTGTAAACTGAACTTGGGATCCTTTGTTCAATGGAATGAATATATACTTGACTGAATCTTTTATCTTCTACAACTACTTCCTAGTCCTTTCAGTTAGGACTAGCATGTAAGGGCTTTTTCTTTCTGAAACAGCTTAGTGCATGTTAATTTGCATGATCCATGAAACAAATCCAGAAAAGAATTATCTCTGAAGTTTTAAGACAAGTTTTCTTTATTCAAGCATATCTTAGCATTATCATTCTACGAGGACTCACTGAAGCAATAGTGTTATTACTAATGTCCACTGTCAGATTTAGATGTACAGATTTTATGAGGGTTAAGAAATATTATAATTTAAACAACAAATCTAATTTTGATTTTATGATATGATTACATCATGATGCTTTCTAAGAAACACAAAAAATTGTTGTTGTTTTTGTGGGTATCATGCTATTAATCCTGGCTGGTGTATTCATACAAACTTGTATGTTCTCATGAAGCTAAATGACTGAAGAGATACCAAAAGACTAGGCTATAGAAAATACCTGCTGGGTATACAGTCCTTCCGTCAAACATCTTCATTTTGCCTTTGAAATGCTTTCTTCTGTTCTGAATTTACATTAATGACAGTTCATCCAGCCAAGGTTCAAAGTATCGATACGTACCGGTCCATATTAGCCGATACGTATCGTGCCAGTGGCTTACTGATACGCCCCTCCAGGGGTTGTATCGGGTCAGCCACCGGTTCAGAGGGTAGCCGGGCCTTAAACCGACCCCTCTGAACCGGTTTTGAAAAAATAAATAAGTCTTAAAAAAATGTACCGACACAGGGCCAATATTCCCTTCCGGTGTATTGGCCCGTGCCGATATTTAGAACCTTGCATCCAGCAAAAACAAGGATAACCATTGGGTTAGACCTCAAGAAGATGTCTGCATATGGGTGCTCCCATGACCAGCAGTAAGCATATTGAATAAATGAATAGTCTTTCTTATTGAAGAAAAAAAATTCTCTGGACTATGTACCACATTTTTGCATGACATCCAAAAGGGTTCAAGATCAAATTGTGATCCAGTCATGTCAATTTTCAGCATAGGAGATGACATATCCTACACCATCTAGGCATCTCTACCATACTTGGTGGCTGCTATCTATTCTTGTAATTATTTTACAAGTGGGAAAAAATCATCTGCTTGTGCATTTGGGTCTTGGGATGAAATTGTTGGAACTGCAGGAATATGTGGATCATTCATCTGTGCTGTTCAAATTTTATGTATTGGGCAACAAAGTTTTCCATGCTGTAAAGATATCAACACCAAATTCTGATGTGCTGTTGTCATCATCTGAGAAGAATGGACTCAAACCTATTGTCTTTGACAGGTATGCAATCTCATTTTTCTGCCTTCGTCTTTGGGCTGCTTTCCCAGGCTTTGAATTTCAAGAACCCTTAATGTTTTTTATTATTTCTTATTGCTTTTCATTTTTCCCTCTGCAGTTTGAAATCTCTACCCACTGCTAAAAAGGATCTTTCTGGGGAAACAATTCAGTCCAAGGATGACAGTCCTCTTGATATAGAATTAGTGAAAGATGCTGCAAATTGGCTCAAGAGAACTCTAGATCTCACCATCTTTGGGTTTGATGTTGTGGTATGGCCCATTAAGTTTCCCTAAATGATCTTTACTAAACTTTATTTACTATACTGTTGTTTAGTATTAGTTGCTTGAAGACTTGGCTTCATGAGAATCTGTGAATCCTAATTAGGAGAAAGCAGACATTACTTCTAGTGATATATACATAAGCGCCTCAATTTTCAGAACCTTAGGATGTCCTGGTAATAGCAATATCAGTATATTTAGTGGACATAACAGTTGGTTGGAGTCACTGAGTCAGTGGTTGGTCCTATGTGAGACCTAACACTCCTGAACATCTTTCAACCCATTTGAATTATGTGATGTCTCATTTGATGGCAATCCATCCCTCACAATTACCAGCGTGTCTAGTGTGCTATTTGATAGCTTGCCTATGAGGTCTAGTTAGAGCGAACCTTGGATTTCCTCGTTGAGAATTAATGATTGTTGTTGTCTTCTCAATTTTGTGGGAACTACAGATTCAAGAAGGCAGCAGAGACCATGTTATCGTGGATATAAACTACCTTCCTTCATTCAAGGAAGTACCCAATGATGTTGCTATACCGGCCTTTTGGGATGCTATCAGGAACTCGTATGAATCAAGAAAGGCAAAGTTAGAATCAGCTTGCTCCTCTTAATGCCGATTAGATGTTTTTGCAAGTTTTTACAATGTACCCATTGACAAAGAGTTGGAATAAGATGAAATCAGACATACTTGGCTTGTGAACGTTTATAGACATTGTGTTGATGCAGGACAAAGTAATCAGTATTGGAATTTTCTGAGTTATTTATTTATTTAGTTTTGTATTTTTGAGCAGTAAGCAAGGTTTAAAATATTGATACAATATGTTCAAAATATGGTGCATCGCCCCACTAATTGATGATTGCAAAAGTTTACTCCCTTTGCTAGTAGCACATGTAGCTAGTACCATCAGAACTTTAGTTAGCATATGTAAAATGGTAATATTTCCATAATGAAGTACTTTTCTTTGGGAGAAACCAAAATAAGAGGTTCTCTCGGTGAATCCTCCTACAAACTGTGGATTGCGGAACTTTCTCCTGACACATTTGGAACTGCAGTCAGCAAGTAACTCTCACTCTCCGATGCTCATTCTATCTCGAACGCCAAAAAGAAGCATTTCAAACTCAAAGGACCCTAGCAAGCGTTCATACAGCTGCTGTGGAAGATTTTAAGGCACAAGAATAATGAGATGTCTATTCCATTGACTTCTAAACTTCTTTCCACTTGTAGGCCCCACTTTTGAATTTAAAACAAGCAGGGTAGCATTACCAGTATGTTATTAGGTGCTGGCAGCAGATGTGAGCTTTCAATCTTATGGGATCCACCATCCACCGACCAGACCACTAATATGTCACCAAGAATGAAGATTGCATTGAAGCAAAGACGATCCCCATGGAGGCAGGTTTGGTTTAGGCCAAGGCTCAGTTTGCTCATGTTTTTCGCATTATTAGTGCCGTTTTGGGAGGGCTGATGGACAGCGGCTTCTGGCTTCCCAAGGTGGGGACCACAAGGACAGCCTTTAAGTTATGTTTGATGAAAAATCGGGAAATGCCAAATTGGTTGTCAGTCACTCCTTCGAAGAGCAGTCAGCTTCAGCCTTTTTTAATAGCTTATACAGAGTTTCAAAGTAGCCAAACCAGCTTAGCTGAATCATCAGTTTTTTTTGGTAGAAAACAGGAGCTACACGGGACGGAGGTAGCTTGGCCAGCTGAATCATCAGTTTTTATTTATTTATTTTTTACTTCGGTTCAGTTTGGAAGGAGTGCAAATCCAAATATGTACAGTACAAATACGTACAAAATAATACAAAATGTAAAGTTTTACTCTACATATTTGTATTTGTACTCCTTCCAAACTGATAACTGAGCTTTCATATTTTCCCGAGGGGACTATTTTTGAAAAAGTCTTAAAAAAAGGCATGTCAATGTCAATGGGCCACTGATACGATACAATATGCCCTATCCAAAGCATATCACATTGAAATTTTGAACCTGGGCTCTCCTTGACAGGCCCTCAGAAACTTGGGTGGGCGTTTGGGGCGCCCAATATTCACATGGCACAGAGAGTTTTGAAATTTTGATCCTCGCTTCTTCAGTTCACAAAATTTTGCTTCCACCTGAAAGGCATTTTCAACACTTAACAGGGGGTTTCAGTAACACCACTACATGATCCTATACATTTCTGCCTGGAGGGATTTTGTAGTCAATCCAGACTGCGCACTAGATAGGAGAACCAGTGAATTAGCTGTTTTCCATCCTGCAGTCCATGTCAACCCTATAACCACAATCAACCTTACACTGGAATTTTGCCCACTTAGTAATAGCCATCTATATTATTTTTCATCTAATTAATATAACAGATAGCTTAAAATTAATTATTTTTAACACATTGCAAGGTCTTCTAGGACCAAAAAAAACATCACGAATGATAACAGACGGGGGAGCATAGTCTCTTCGGGCTCCAAACTAACTTAATATACATGGAAGATCTTTTGGTGTATAGGAAAACTTACAAAAACAATCTGACTAGGTTTGGTAAGAGAGATTACAAAAACTTGTAAGCAAAATCAACTTCTTGTCATAGTGAGAAGCCACATTTTAAAAGAACTATATATGGAGAACAGGGCTTGATTTGGTAAGAGAGCTTTTTTTTTTCAACGCAAAAAGATGAAAATCGAAAATTAATTCAGAAGCCATCACAAAGAACGGACTACTGCGATGATTGTGAACAGTAAATTAGCCAACTGGATAACTTACCAGCCATAAAAAAATCTCAGAGAAGGGAGTACAAAAATAAAAAATAAAAAAATAAAAAAGTGCATCATCTCAAGCTGGCCAACTCCGTTTGTGATTCTTCTTTTTGTTCCTCAATCAGGTCATTTGACATGGCAGAAGGTATTCTGTGGCGCTTCAAGATCCGAGATGTGGCAACCTTTGCCGATTGATAGTTCAAAACAATTACCCTATCATCATCTAAATCAAATCTTAAGCTCTCTTCACTACAATCCTCTACAAGTCTACACAGATGTTTCAGATTCTCAACTTCAACACCATTTACTTTCTTTACCTACACAAGACATGTTCACTTTGTCAGATCATGAATAACAATGTCTTGATTAACATACTTGGAATTAGTTCCCTAGTATTTCACACAATGGATATCTGCAGATTCTTTGCTTAGAAATTTGGAGGAAGTGGCCAATTCAGTCCCTATTAAAACTATGATCAGCTCCATTTGGTCTGCACTAACTAATGAATTCACTAAAATGAATTTTGATAAGAGTAGTGAAGGAAACCAGGGACCTTCAAGCATTGGAGGAGTTTTTAGGCTCATTTTTAGGCTCTATTGGTTCGGGTGTATTCACTTAGAGCTAAGATTTTGGTAGTAATTGAAGGTGTGCAAAGGGCAAAGGAGATAAATATCAGGAAGTTAATCATTGAAGGTTCAAAGCTGGTGATAGGCTGGCTATAAAAGGAGGAATGGGTTTTGGAGCTATATTAATGAAAAAGGAAGTTTTTAAGTGGCTGACCCAGGGTATGGATCTAGGAGTGTAGTGGGTGAAAAGAAGCACTAATTCCTTTGCTGATACACTTCCTAAACAAAGGGGTGGGAAGGGATTGTTGTGATCTTGAATAATTATTATGGGGAGGGATAAGAGAGTTTATCCCTCCCCTTTTCATTTTTGTATCTGCATTTTTTATCTTTAATAAAATATTCCTGTTATTGGTAAAAAAAAATACTTGGAATCAGTTTGCTAGAATAAAAAATCAGTGACTGCACCACTAATGGTCGGTTTCCTGCAAGTATCCAACAGAATGACAGGAGTATAGAGAGAATATGGGTTGTGGTGAGAGAGAGAGAGAGAGAGAGAGAGTGCATGGGATTGACCATGTATGGGTTCTTTTATGTTCTATGCTAAAGATTGAAGGACATAATTTAACAGAAAGTATGACCTTAGAAAAGGTTGAGAAAACTAGACCTGGACTTTGGTAACCAACTTCAAATAGTTGTGTAAAAGTTTAGCGGAATCAAGTTAGATAGAGTTTGGCATTGAGGCAGAAGAATTAACATGGCCAACTCAACAGAATTATATTTAGTAACCCGGCAATAAATTGGTCAAAATTCTTGACTAGATCAATATTGTTTAATGGGTTCTCCCTGAATCACCCACATCAGAAATCAAATTAGACTAAAATATTATACACACCCAGTGAAGTGGTTTTCCTTCTAGACAGTTCACTTTCCTAACCCTTTTTCACCATCCAAAGAAATGTGGACAATCAGATGGTACAATCAGCTGACCAGCTGACATTTTGTACATTCTTTCTGCAAGCACATTACTTGTCCTGATAACTATCAAAGATTACAGACTAGCCTTTCAAAAATAGGCTATAAAAGCATAAAGATAGCAGTACCTGCATTTCTGCAAGACGCTCATACCCCGTATTGACATCATCCATCAACACCTGAAACATCTCAGAATATGAACAATCATCACCAAAAGAATAACATAATTATGAATCATTTTTGTGTCATTCAGTTTCAGATGGCCAATATGATGTTTATGGCAGCTCCTTTTGAAGAAATAGCAAATATATATGATGGAAGATGAATGTTATGTTATTACTTCTGGCTATTAATCAGTAACTGTTACTTTATTTTCAACATGCCCTACTTAGGAGCAAGAGAACATGGCAAACTCATGCCAACTATTAAGCAAGGAAGAAGGAAAGGAGGACAAAACATGACTAAGAAAATACCTGAGAAAGAATGACAAGTTGTTCACCAGCCTTCTTAGGCAATTCCCTCAATGCACGTTCACACAATCGACGGGGTGAAGTGTTATACCAGTCTTCCCCATATTCATGAAGGTATGGCTGGGTCAATGGAACAAAAACCAGACCCGCAAAAATGAAATAACTAGGCAGCTTATCAAACTGATGAACTGGAACTAATGGCTGCAACTGCAAATCGTCAAGCATTCGTGTTACTTAAACAGAAAAAGGTGACTAAACCATTTGACCCAATCAATGGGTGATGGGTTAGACACTAAATCTCTTCTTATCTACTTCCATCATTAACAAAAATAATTCTCATTTATCAAGAGTAGTTTTGTTTAAAATGATTAATATACAATATTAGAGACATGCCCAATTTTTCTACGATTATTTTTTTTTTTTTTTGATAAAGAACATCAATTCCATTAAAATAATGAATAGATACAAGAAAATCCCGTTAGAGGCGCGAGCAGCAGCCTCTCCAAACAGCAAATACACAAACTACAACAGAGAAAAGGAAACTATTCATGAATAGATACAAGAAGATCCCCAATTTTTCTACGATTATTATGAAACTTTCTATATTCTTTATTTTTATTACTTAATTTTTTTTGAGAAAAGGAAACTATTTTGTTTTATTACTTAATTTATGGCATCACATGTTGACTTGTTTGACACAAACACATAGTTGTTAAGGCACCTAGACGGTAAAAATTTCATAAAATACAAAACAAAGTTTTTCCTAATTCTGTAGTTTTTATATACAATTCAGCATGCATATTAATTGGAAAAATAGCAATTTTCCTTATTAATAACATCAAATTTCCTCTCAAAACATGGCAGATTAACATATCTACAACTTATGTGTTATTCATTAGTTATACAAACAAGATTATTCAATTTGTAACAGGGATCAGGTACTTCATCATAAGATAAGATAAAAGTCATGGAGAACAAATGCTCACAGGTAGGAGGGTAATGTTGAATTCATACTCTACACCATTCCTCAACACCGTAACTTTAGCTGTTTCATTGGGTTTCTTCATTGAGACCAAATGATCAAACGTTATCCGCTCCCTGTTCCGAAAAGGAACTGCAGAAATCACACAACTAGGTAAAATTAACAGTTAAAACCACAACATAAAAGATGCATCAATAAATAATGCTACATCCTTGGTCATGATGGATCCAATAAAGAGTGGTAAAAACTTGCAATGTAACATAGAATTACATATTATCCAGGTCATGATGGATTCAATTAGTGGAAGTAGAAGTGAAACCACAGTATTCAATGTATGATACATTAGTATCATTTTGCACATAACTTCTGATAGCTACTTTTGTAGGATAAACATGAAGCCCATTATTTATATAGAACAGCTATGTTTATGGTTGGAATGTCAGGACAATGGTCACAAAAACAGAAATTTGCAACAACAAATTTCAATTATGGACTCTAGTTTAGAATGCCAAACGAATACAAAAATCATAGCAATGAAGCATCATTTTCCTTGCTGTCCAAATAATAAGGTTGGTAAGTATCATAAGAAAGCAATGCTAAGAATGGCTGGTTAAGGTTAATTTTTCAACTAGATATTTTCATGGGTCTCATTGATTGGTTGGTCCAAATGCATAACCTGTGCTGCATGTCCTAGTATGCCTTTGTAAATGGTACTTCTGGTCAGGACAATAAATTGGATTTTTCTTTAATAGTTTTTTGGCTTCTTGCCCAACTGGGAAAAAGAAAAATGGAAAAAAAAAAGAATGATAAATCATAATGAACTTGCAACATGAGAACCAAAATAAGTGAATAAGGGTGAGCTGAAAATTGAAACCAACAACAAGAATAGACAATATATCTACCCGTTCCATCATTTGCTATAGGCACATCATCAAATGCAAGGATGATATCGTCTTTCTTTAGCACCCGATTGGCATCTGAAAGAGGATTAATCTTGCAGACAAGAACCCCAGTCATATCAGGGCGCATATGGAAATGCTCTCTCAGTTGCATGCTTTCTGTAGGCTGGCACGACAAACCTAGAGAGCAAAATCCAATGTATTTTCCACTTTCCTCTACACCACTTATAAAATGCTTTATTACAGGGACTGGAATTATATACCTGAATAAAAATAAATAAATATAAGAAAAGAAATAAATGAAGTTTTAAAGTCATTATTACAGTTGCACATACTTTTTCTCTTTCAGATTATTGACAAGCATTACTTCTGCATATTTACATGAGCAATGGATCAATACCAAAGCCTATAACTAGAATTTATAGGCATTTAAGCATTGTACATTTGAAGTGAAGTTATGTTTCATTCATATTTGTTTATTTTACACTCCATCAATAACAATAACAATAATAACATTCATATTAGATGATTTCATATTTATCTATACCAGTTCCATCTTTGTATCAAGTATGCATTTATTTACAATACTGAAGCATGTAAGGTATGAAATATAATAGATAAAAATAAAGACTGGGTCCAAATTTGATCCCATCTTATGGATGCATTACATATATAGAGGTAACAACTAAACAGATCAGACGAGGACTTAGCCTGCAGTTCTTCACAGTATACCACCCTCTACACCCAATACTGAAAAAAAAAAAAAAAAAAAAGCTGCATCCACTGCCGGACAATGATTTCAGTGATAGAGCCCAGGTTTTCTTCCCTTTTCATGTATGGAAACCCCAGGACTAAAGAATCGATGAATTTCTTGTTTTTCATGTATCAATTTTGCCTGAAAAGATCCAGTTGGTGCTTATCTCCACACTGGTCTGTTCTCTGTAAATCCAGTGGAGAGTCTTGCTATCACTTATTAAGACCGAGCACCTTTGTATCTTCCATTTGGGATTGTTTTTTCTTTATTTGGGTGTAGGTGGAACTTTTCGCCAAATGTGCAAAGTTCGTTTGCATCTACTTTTTTTAGTTTGCCAAAGACAAGAGGAAAATTGTTGTGGAGATGTGTAAGAGCTGCTTTAGTTTGGACCATTTGGGAGGAAAGGAATGCAAGGATATTTTTAGAAAAGGACAGAAGCAAAGAGGCCATTGTAGAGACTATCACTGTCAAGGCAGTTCAATGGGCAAAATCCTTGGAGTTATTTGACGCTTTTTCAGCAGGTAACATTATGAGAAAGTGGAAGGAGGAGGCTTGTTCAGATAGGAATAAGCTTGTTATTAATCCTGGTTGGTCCCCACCAACCAACGGCTTCACTAAGTTGAACTTTGATGGGACTTGGGAGTAGTGTAGGCAACTCAGGTCCCTCAGGTATTGGTGGAGTTTTCAGTAACGAGGTGGGCAGCATCATTGGTCCATTCTCAGGGCCAATAGGTGTTGGGGATTCTTTGAGGGCTGAGATGCTGGTTTTGAAGGAAGGAGTGCAAAGAGCAAAGGAGATGAACATCAATAAGTTGATTATAGAAGCGGATTCAAAACTGGTGGTGTGTTGGCTACAAAAAGAAGCCAGATTATGGAGCTATAGCAATGAAAGGAAGAAACTTAAATTGTTGACACGAGGCATGGATGTGAGAATTAATTGGGTCAAAAGAACAGCTAATAATTTTACTATTGTCCAGGAAAAACAAGGGGTGGGAAGATATCAGTTGTTCTGGGCTCAATTGTAACTTTTTTTCATTAAATTTGGGGAGAGTTAAGAGATTTTGTCTCTCCTTCTTTGTATTCTATTTTCTGGTTTAATGAAATCTGAAGTTATTGATAAAAAAAATTGCCTAAAACCATTTGATACTTTTCATTTCTCCCAAGTGCTTACCCATCCATAGCAATGGTAAGCTTTCCCAACCCATGTAAAGCAGAGATGACACCAAACCCTTTTGAGGCAAAGCCAACTTGTTTATTATTATGGCCATGGTTTGCAATAGCAAAATTCGGTGAAGTTTCACCAAAATCTCCCTATTTTGTTAGGCATTGATATGAAATCTCCCAGGCTTCTTTTTCTCTCAAATCAAAGCTATATTGTGAATATATCAGCAATATTTCAAATTCTGTTTCTAAATTATATGTTTAATGTTCAAACTTTCAGAATATTGTTGAAACTCTCTGGTATTTTGTTAACACTATCATAAATGTTTGTAATTGGTAAACCTATTTGAGTCCCCGTATCTTCTTTTATTTGATATGCACAATCATTTACTACAGATTTTTTTTGTTCTTAGATGTGCAAATTATATTTGTTCTAACCCCTTTAGGTCACCATCCATTTTTTTCAGTAATCTTCCACCAATTTCTCTACATTTTCTATGTCTTAATGAAATTAGCTTCCATATTTTTGTATAACAAAATGTTCATCAATATTGAAATTTCAATCCATGATTGTGATGGTGACCACTTAACCAAGGTGAGAAAATAAAAGGAGGTGATGGAAATCATATTAAAAGAAGCTAGAACATGGAGATCCAGAATAATCTCATCCAAAATCCTCAAACAAGTTGTGCTACGCCTTAAGACTATCATGTAGGGTCTAATCCATCTTAAATGTGTCATTCCTCTGGGACTTGAGATAGTTGAGTTGGAAGGAAACTCACAGATTGTCATTGGATGGATATGGAGTTCTCTATATAACACTTGTATGAAAACATCACATTAGAAAATTTAAAGCATGAAAATTCAGAACAAAATAGATCATTCAAATTTGTTCCAAGATAAACCAACTCATTGGTGGACAAGAAGGCTAAGGAGCAAATTGGAGAGTTGGTATGGGGTCCAGACCATTGGGAAAGCACTCAACTAGGAGCATTTTTTTTTTTTTTTGATCTATGTACCTGTTGGATGCCTCTTTAAGATTGCTCATCTGGTCAAAATACTTGTATTGTTGTTGTTGCTACCATAATTATACTTAAATTGCTTTATCTTTCTCATTGTAAGGTGTTATCTCTCCTTTTTGTTGTCTTTGGAGTTTGGAGTAAGAGTTCTTTTTTTTTCTTTTTCATTGGTAACAAAGAGCTCATTAAAGAACAAGAAGAAAGGTATGAAGACAAAGAAAAGAAAACCAGAAGAGGAGAAAGCAAAGAGAGGGCGAACAGAACAAATCCAATTAACCTTGCTCTCCACTCAGGCAGAGCTCAGGGATAGAAAAAGACCTCATTGGTAAATCAATTCTCTCTTCACAAGGAGAATTCAAAAACCACAAATAAGAATGCCATCATGATCTTGACTTCATTTGATGGTGCCAGCTAGCATGTTGGTAAAGTCTCCCACTGGTTGTAATGAATACCTAGGATCACATTCTACCTTCATCAGGGATTGGGAACAACATGGGCTTTGGGGATGGGAAAAAAGACCATTACCCAATGTTAGCCCCAGCTATCTTTGGTCTTGGGTGGAGTAGACTGGATACAGTCCTAAACTTCGACCTTTTTTTGGCACAAAGTGGCTGCTCTCAGACTCGAACTAACATTCTCATGCTTGCCAGCCCAACTGCCCAAGGTTTTACCATTACACCAAGTGATAACCCCTTCTTTAGGGAAATATTCTGTTCCTAAATTAATTTGAAGAAAATGGTTCTTTTGTTGATACATAGTTGTAAAGGTGATGCCTAGGTGGGCACCTAAGTGACAAGGTGGCCATGGAGGGTGATGGTCACCTAGCATAAACGCCTAACTATTTCTACATGGCACCACAAAATAGCTTTTATTGTGCCTCCTTTTTTTTAAGTCTCTCTAGTTTCTATTCATCTTCTCCCCCCCCCCCAGCCTTTCCCTGTTACAGAAGTTTGGCGTCAACCCAAGATAGGAGCTTTTTGTTGAGAGGTGTTTCATGGGATGGTTAATATTTTGGACTTGTTACAAAAAAGAAGACCCCCTTTGTGCTTATCCCCAAATTGGTGCATTCTTTGTAGGTCCAATGGAAAGAGTTGTTACCACTAGATAATATCCTGTCCTTTTGCTGCAGATATTTGGGAATGGATTTTCTCTTTGTTTGGGCGCAAGTGGAATTTGCCAACAGAAGTAGATAAGCTTTTTGACCCTTCTACTTTTGTTTGGCCTAAGAAAAGAGGCAGGATCATGTGAAGAAGTGTAAGAGCATCTATAATTTGGACCCTATGGGAAGAAAGGAATGCTAGAATCTTTTCAGAGGAGAGAAGGAAGCAGTAAGAGACTGTGTAATGGTGAGAGTAATACACTGGATAAGAACTTCGGACTCTTTTTTGCATGTTTCTTTTGATGATATTTGGAGAAATTGGGGGATGGTGGCCAAAAGTTCATCAAGAAAGGAAAGAGTTAATGTAGTTTGGAAACCTCTAGTGGAAGACTTTGTGAAATTGAACATTGATGGGAGTAGTCAAGGCAACCTAGGCCCTTCAGGTATAGGAGGGGTACAAAGAAATAGAGAAGGATTTGTCATTGTTTTATTTTCGGGTCCAATGGGAGTGGTGGATTTCATAAGGGAGGAACTGCTTACTTAAAAGGGATACAGATTGCAAGTGAGTTAAACTTGATAAATGTGGAGATTGAAAGAGATTCAAAATTGGTGGTTGGTTGGCTAAAGGAACCCGAGTCTATAACCTAAAACTTTAGGGAGGAGATCAAGAAATTTAAATGGCTTATTAGAAATATGTTTGAGAATAAGTTGGGATAGGAGATCAAGAAGTGAGAATGGAGGATGCATTGGCTAAGCAAGGGTTAAATAGAGATCACTTGTATTGGGCTCAATTGTAATTGTTTCTCTTTCGTATTATGCTCTATAATTTGTGAGAGGTAGCACCTTGTGCCATCTCTTTGGGGATGCTTGTAATGCCTATACTTTTGATTATTAATAAAATTCCAAAAAATCATAAGAGAGGAAACCTCAAGTTTAATCTAAAACTTACCCAATATTCTCTGCACCTGAAAGGTTTTGAAAAGCTACACCAGCAACTTTGTCACCCATGATTGCAGGGCCTCCACTGTTCCCTGGATTAATGGCTGCATCAATTTGTATAGCCATGAGGTGGGTTGCACCATGGACATATTGAGTTGGTTCAACTCTAGAGACAACACCTTTAGTAATAGAGATATTGTCTCCACCTGTAACCATGGAGAAAAGTTATGTCATATAAAGCATCTATTATCTATTTTAATGGAGAATGTGTTCACCTTGCATCCATTTTATAGGAGAACATGTAACACATAACACTGCCCATTCTTTCCTAATATTTATTTCCAAGAATGTTGCACATTTTTTTCTTTTTCTTAATCTTTTGAAGAATAAGGGAATTGCCAAGGATCATATGCCACAATTATGCACATGAAAATAGTCATTAGAACTGAGGAATTTTATACCTATATGGTTGAGATGTATGAGGTATAGTGCAGAGGTTTCCAGTCTAAAAGTGTACAATGGAACAACAAATGGAAAATACAACTTTCTCCACCACAAAGTTCTAGATCAAATGTTCTACCATTTAAATATTTCCTTGGGGGAACCAGCAACGAAAAGAAACAATTCCAACTTCCAATTTGTCCTTTTTTTTATTTTTATTTCATGAAGGTTAAGAGAAGAAAAGCAAGTAAAAGAATGCTTCTGATGTATTTTTTATATAAATAATGAAAATTAAATTGCTAATAAATCCTTCCCAACCATTAAACTCTCCAACATAGAACCTCTCACATTAGCATCTATTCCAATATACCCTTCTTAGCACATGATAATCAATCACACATGGAGTACCAATATATCAAGCATCCATAATGCATAAGAACATTCCTAACAAAAAAGAAGTATTTTTTTTTTGAAAGGTAAAGTAAGAAATTTATTAATTCAGAAAAGACTCATTACAACAGGAGAGCTAACCACAAGTGGCTACTCAGAACACAGGACAGGTTACAGATCCCAAATGGATTCAGATCTAAACAACTCAGGAACATTCAAATTTTTTAAATCAGGGGCTACAGACACCCAAGAAATCAGCTTGCTGACCACCTGCTGCACAATCTCCTCAGTGCTCTTTGATTTGTTGCTAAAGATTCTTCTGTTCCTTTCTGACCAGATTACCCACATCACAGCCGCAGGAATGGTTCTCCAAATTAATTTTCCTTTTTTCCTTCAGACCTTGAGAATTCCAGCAAAGCAGCAGCTCTTTTACTGAATTTGGCATGACCCAACAAAGACCAACAGCTCCTATAAAATGATACCAAACTCTAGAAGAGATAGGACAATGAATGCACAGATGGTCTGTGAACTCAGGCAATAGACCACACAAACCACACACCAGAGAAGGGAGCTGAATACCCCTTCTATCCAGGTTGAGTCTTGAGAGACATTTGTTCAGCACCACTGTCCACACAAGGAAGTTAGACTTCGAGGGAGCACAAGACTTCCACACTTGCTGACAGGGAAAGTTGGTAACCCCTGTTCTGCTAAGTTTAGTAGTAAGGGATTTAACTGAGAAACAGCCATCCCTACTCCAGGACCAACTCCATTCATCTTCACCAGAAATGTCTATTGACTGCTCCTGTAATATCTGCAATAGATGCAGCACTCCATCAATTTCCCAATCGAACAAATCTCTTCTAAACTGAGAATTCCATGCCACTGTGTTGTTAGATACCACATAGGATTCTGCCACTGATATTTCTTGGTTAACTGCACATTGGTAAAGAAGGGGAAAAGCCTCAGCTAAAGGTCTGTCCAAACACCAGGGATCTTTCCAAAATTTCAGCCTGCCCCCATTTCCCACCTTCATACTTCACATGAAGACATTTAAGAATCCCTTTCCAAACTGAACAACCCCATGTTGGGAACGGATCCTGAGGCTTCCAATTTCCCCAATCCACCCCAAATTTTGAGGCAATTAAAGACCTCCACCAAGAGGATCTTTCTGAAGCAAACCTCCAACACCATTTACTCAACAGAGCCGAATTTACCACCTTCAACCTTCTTAGGCCCAAACCTCCCTCTGCCTTAGGTAGACATACTTGGTCCCAATTCACAAGATGCATTGTCTTCTCTTCTTCCAACCTCTCCAAAGAAAATTTCTCTGCAACTTCTCAAGTTTCTTTGCTATTTTAGATGGCATAGGAAACAGGGACATGAAGTAGGTAGGGAGGTTGGAAAGTGTACTTTTGATAAGGGTCACTCTCCCTCCCATAGACAAATATTTCGCCTTCCAGGAGGCCAATTTTTTTTCTACTCTCTCAATGACTGGATCCCATATAGCAGAAGAAGAACAATTAGCACCTAAGGGAAGGCCTAGGTACTTCCCCGGAAGATAGTCCACCTGTTCTGTTCGTGATTTAATTTTTCTATGAAAAAGCATGCCCAAATTCCTTGAGTTTGACTTGATCTTAGAGAACTATCCATCTATCTGCCTATCTCAAAATACAGACACATGGGTTTGTATGGTTATTTTAATTCTTATTATTTTTTCCAGGTCTATATGAGTTTCTAAACCAAAATCATGTTAGTAGGATTCATCTTCCTACAATTGGTTGAAGAAATAATCTTATTTCAATACAATTTTTTAATAAGTCCAAAAAATGGAAACGGAATTGTTACATTTTGGTTTTACATAGCATTGAACTCACACCTTCATCAATCATCACTTGAAATGGACTCATTACAGTTGAGAAAGAAGAAAATGCAAATGAATTTATTTCTTGAAATCAAGAAATGACCTCATTCGTATTTCATTTAAAAAATGGGAATGGATCAATTATAGATGCTGAACTTATATTCTAAAACATAAACAACAACGAATTTATCAAAAAAAAAAAACATAAACAACAACGATATAATTCCATTACAGATGGACTTCAAACAGGCCATTAATGAATTCGTATTCTCTCATTCAGATAAAATTGAAAACCAAACCTTGTGGGTATCCAACAACAGCCACAGCTTCCTGTAAAAATGGAATATCTCCAAGCTCCAAACAATTCATTCCCTCCCAAAACTCTTCACTTTGAACAACAAGAATAGCCAAATCACATTCATGTCCAACCGCTTGAACTTCTGCTCTATACTTGGTCGGGGAACCATGCTTTCTCACAAGTACAAATGTATGATCAGCTACTACATGAGCATTTGTTAGGATCCTTCTCCCAGAGATAACAAATCCTACATTAAATATTAAAGAAATACCAAGGTTAGACCGGCAAGGTGCAAAGTAAATTTCTCAAATTTAGACAAGCACTTCTTTTGGTCTATTAGATCGCCTATATTATGTCTACAACACTTATGGATCAGCTTGAAAAGATATTCAACCAGTTGTTTCAAATAAATTAGTCACCACAATACTTATAGTAGTAAAACCAGGCCTACCGAATAATTCTCCAATGAAATAACTAAAATGTGATTAATGGTAGTCTCAAGAATTACCGGAACCCATTGTTTCTCGCTGTGACTTATTCTGCCATGGAAGGAAATAGTTGGGGCTGCTCGTCACTGTGAATATCTTCACTACAGAGTCGAGAACGAGCTCTATAGCCGAATACGGATCTGTGAATCGAAATTCTTCCAATTTCTTCTCATCCGAGACTGGAGGAGGTACATGCCCATTGTTGTCATTGATGAAGTTAGTAGTAATAGAAGTAGAACAGAACGAACAAGCAATGGTAGTTGGAGTAGGGGAGCAGCGCAGAGGAGGAACTCTAGACAGAAGAGAGGACTCGGAGAGGATTTCGTCTGAGAGAGGGAGACGACGAGAGTGAACGAGAAGAGTGCGAAGAGAGCAGAGCCTACGAACTGTCCGAAAAGAGGAGTTCAGCATGGTTCCTCACTTCCTCTCGGAGCTCGTTGGTTCGTTTCCGCACCACGGAGAGCGAGGGACGAGTTTAGGTTTAAAGGTCGCGGGTTCTGCTCAGGGGTGTAAGCCGGACCGGGGTCCGGTCGGGTTGAATGCAACCATAACCCAACCCGAAGACTTCGGGTTGGCCCTTTTTTTTTTGTTTTTGCTTTTTTTGTTAAAATAATCTTATTTTTTAAACTCAAGTTATATTTAATATTAAAAGGACAAGTATACCGTGACTTAGAAGTGTCATACTTGTATAACATTATAAATTTTTTGTCTTTTAACTTTAAATTGGGGATACATTTTCACTGTGTTTGCCTGTTTGGTTTGAAGAAAAAAGTAGGGAAAGGAAAGGTAGGAAAACCTTTACAAACCTTGTATGAATTTCCCTACCTTTCCCTACCCTTTCCTTCAAATCAAATATAGCCTTTGGGATAGGAGTGGATATGAGTAGAGTCAAACTAAACCATTTTGAGTTCGTCTCAATATAAAAGCATAAGGTTCAATTTTGGGCTCAAGCTCAATTTTAGTTAAAATTATTGACTCAATTTAAAAGCTCATATTTTTAAGAGTTAGATTATTATATGGTAAAGATATGATATATGAAAAACTTCTAACTAGTCAACTAGAATCATAAACGTGGTAGTTAATCAGGTGTTATTTATCAAAATTCATGGGTGGATTTTGATTGGTCAAAACTCTTCTCATACTATGTTTTTCCCACATTATAGATTTTCCCTATTTTATTTTTAAATTTAGTTGAACTTGATTTCGATATTAAATCAAGCCTATATAAACTCAAACTTGAAGTTTGAGTGGGGCCGTAAATAAAAGTTAACATGGCTCATGAATAGCTTGCTTCAGATCCACCCCTACTACTAACAAATTTTAGGTGCCACATTCTTTCTTGCAAATGGGCCCCAAAAGTTAATATGGGCATCCATAAGCCCAATAGAGTGAGCCTATATCTCACACATAATGGAGTAAGTAAAAGACCAATATCCAATTTAGATAGGATTAGAAAGTAGGCTAATGTTGTAAATCCAACCTTAGGCTATATGAGTATAGGTGCTTAGGGACTTTGACTTTGAGGATGACTCTGTTTTTCAAGTCTCATCAACACACATGAAAATTATTATCAACAATAATTGCAAATTCACTCCAATTCTACTTTGAAGGGAAAAGAAAGAGTAACAATCTCTCAGCTCTCTTCTTCACATTTGAATTTAAAGCTCCCAAGGAAAGTCATGCCACTACAAAAAGGCCCATTTCTTAGAAAAATATTATTCACAGCCAATCAAGGAGGAAGCCCAAAGTAAGGAAAACTAAGTCACGAAAAATGATGCTTTAAGCTCAAAATTACAAAATTGAAGATAACAAGAAAGCTGCAAAATGTAGGAGATCCACTTAATTGTCATGATGACAAAATTGCAACTACGGGAGACTTCGAGAAATACAAGCAATGCTTTAATCTCAAAACTAAGCCTCAGTTTGGAAGGAGTACAAATGCAAATATGTAGAGTGCAAAACCTTATGTTTTGTATTATTTTGTATATATTTGCATTTGTATTTTTTTCAAACTGAGCCTAAAGTCTTTGGGTTTGTTGATGCAACTTTTGAGTTTGAAAACTAAGTCTTAGTTTGAAAGGAGTACAAATACAAATTTGTAGAGTACAAAACCTTGCCTTTTATATTATGTACTGTACATATTTGTACCCGTATTCTTTCCAAACTGAGCTCTCATGTAAGAAAACACAAAAATAAATTTATAGAACATGATTTTTTTGTATTCAATCAAAATAAATAGCATATAAACTCTTTGTTTTGCATTCTTTTATAGAACCATAGAAGAGATAAAACCTTTGGTTCTCTATTGGCCAAACCTAAAATGAGAATCTCATGGTGTGTTTCTCCGAATTTATCGATGATTAAATTTGTTTCTTTCAACTGAGCTTGACAGATTGATTAAGTAAAGGATTCATAAAACTTTGATGAGCAAAGATATGAGTTTACATTTCATGGATTGAATGAAGTGTTGTACTTCAAAGATGATGGAGATTACTTGCTTCTGTTTGGCTTGAAGGAAAAAGTAGGGAAAGTAAGAGAAAGGTAAAGGAAACCTATACAATAACACAACGCAAGGGTGTCACAAATTTGCTTGAGATATTTATTTGGTCATGTAAAAAGGGACATGCATGGGTAAAAGCAAGGTTTTAAAAACCGATCCGAAAACGGAACTGTTCTAGCTATCAGTTTCTGGGTCAGCGGCTCAACCATCCAAGTCAAACGGTTCGGACGGTTTGCATATTAGGGCAAATGTTTATATGAGATTTTCCCTAATATGCAAACCTCATGTAAAAAAGAAGAGATGTCGGCTGAAAAAGCCAGAAAGCAAGAGAAAGGAAAACTATTGTCGCCGCCTCATATAGTCCCCATGTTTTGTTTTGGTATTATATATTACACATTAGGATTAAGGTGTGGGGATATAGTGGGGGTGTACATGAAGTCCACTGATTTTATCATTGAGGCTCACTAGTTATGCAGTTTTATCTAACACTTCCATGTTTGGAAGGAATGCTGGGTCATAGGGATGGCAATGGTGTAGGGCACCCTCTCCCGATCCCCGCCCCGTAGCCAAAATCCCTTACTCTATCTCTAATGGCAGGATGGGTTTGGGGCAGAGGTACCTCCTCTTGTTGGGGATAGAGAATTCTCGAATTTTATACACTTTGAGACAATTACTTAAAAATACATTATTTTTTGTAAAAGGAAATGCATTAATAGTAAAACCAATTCAATATCATGGAGCTTGCTAGATGGGGTTTGTCTATTCCAGATTAATAATCCAATCTAGGCAATCAAAAAGAAAGAGACCCCTATCCACGAAACCCCGGTGGGCCAGCTTGTGAGCTGCACTGTTGCAATTTCTGTTAATGAAATTAACGGAAAAATCTAGGCCTGCTATAGCAACAATGATGTCTTTTACCAAAAGAGAAATATCAGTTGAAAAATATTTAGTCTTCTCCTTGAGAGCACAAACAAGTGTCTCGCAGTTTGTCTCAATAGCACACCTTTCAATCCCAGCAAGCTTGGTTAGGGCAACACCCTATTTAACAACAAAAGTTTCTACTTGGAGAGCTAAGGAAACAAAAATTGATCCAAAACAAGTTGCAATGCTAAGACTAGAACTATCTCTGATTATTACACCAAAACCACCTTTGCCATCATTAAATCCACCGTCTGTATTTTAAGGATGGGATATCCATCACATGGATGCCCAATTCTTGCAAAATGGACTGGGCAAATTTCAAAAAAATTTCTCCCATCTTTGCAGGGAATCGAATTCCCTATTTTAGAAAAACATTTTTCAAGGATCAATCTTGAACCATGAACCAAACTAGATCTGAACCAAAAGGAGTAGGAGGGAGGATGTACTTGATACGGAGAATTAGTATCTCCCAATGGAGGTGTTCACGCCCAAGGAAGGATCCAAAGACTGCTCCCACTGAAGATGGCGCAGTGTAGGATGGAGTAGAATCAGCAATGTTCTTCAAAAGAACTTGACCCTTCGCAAGAATCAACTGGATGGCTTGTGAGTACAGCTCCAATCGATCTTTTCCCAAAAGATT